TTGGCCGCTTTTGGGTTTTTTAATCCTATACACAGTTAGTAGGGCTCCTTGAACGGGGGATCAGTCCGTCGCAAGGCCGCTACCTACACACAGAATAAACGCACAGACATCCCTGCCTCGCGTGGGATTTGAACCCCACATCCCAGTGTTCGAGAGGGCGAAGACGGTTCAGTTCGGCCCCGGTTATCCCTAAAATATTTGAATCGAAAAGCCAGAAGATATTATCTTTATTTTTAAGAACGATAATTCGACCCAACATCTGATCCCCGTGCAGATACAAATTAATATGTCACTACCTTCTGGGATGCGACGCCGTGTGCTTTCGTAAAGGACCCCTGTCTTCCAAACGTCACGGCGTCACTTCCCAGAAGGCGACAGTGAGACTCGCAGATCACACGCAGAGTACACAGTGACAATTCTCGGTCCCGCAATATCTCATGTTTCGATAACTCGAATTGGGTCAGAGTCAGAAACAAAAAGACAAACAAAAACAAAAGCCGCTTGTCGCTGCCCTGCTTAGGGGGACACCATTGCCGACCGGTCACATAAAAGTGTTTAGTTTGTACATACAAACAGAGAGCCAATGTTGACGCATGTTTTCAAGCCTCGTTGGGTGGTATTGATTTTGGTAAGTGGCTATGTTGTGAGGGGTGGGGGTGGCACACCGTAGGGGTAGCAGCGAGGTGAGTTGGGGGATGCAAGAGAGAGCAAGGGGATGATTCCACCGCTACAGAGCCCTCTCATGCTGCTCGAGGAGGCGAGCGGCAGAACGGCACAAATGTTCTTCTTCTAAATTAAGTATTTAGTTCCGAAGTAAATTTGCTGAAACCCTGTTCGCCGTGAACTGCTTACATTCGAAGTTTTGTCACGAGGAGCCCGCAGACACGACGTTAGAATCCACGAACGATTTGCGTAACATTTCACAGAAATCATATTCGTAACAAGACTTCCGACTTCCACTCCTACTTTTCTGTAAGTGTGAAATGTATCATTGTCATTACGAAATATCGTGTTACCATAACAACGAACTGTAAACCGTCAACACGTTACATGAACGTTAAATTATGCGGTAGGCCACGATAGAGCGAGCAGTCTTCTCAATGCGTCATGCCTATTTTGTGATTATACTGTATGTAAGAGACAGTTTAGGACTTTGTATTTGTGCGTGTTATTCGTGGGAGCTGGTTTTAAGCGCCTGCCTCGGTGTATCATTACGTAACACGGGAGAAAGTACGGGAAGATAATTATGTAACAAATGTTGGGACTTTCTCTGAGTGTTACACTAGTTTTGTGCAAAATAAATTCGCGTGTTCATTACGCAAGGAAAAGAACCATATTCCAGGCGAACAGCGTCTGCTTCTGCTTGGTCATTCATAAAGTGGACTCGGGTCAGCTAATGGAGGATGACAGACGTGCAATATGTTTCAAAAGTAAAAGAGATAAGGAAGTAAATGCGAAAGAGAGGGAGAGAGAGAAGTTGATTGAATGCAAAGGAGCAGCAACAGGGAGGGTGGAGGTCATGCTGTATGTGACAGAGCAGGCCCATCGAGGACATCTGAAGAATTGGATTGGGGTCAAGCTGTTAGGGATATGAAATATCCAAATGGGCTTTAAGTCTGGTGCTCAGAACGATTTGTTTTCGAAAAAGCATGCAATGCCATCTGTTGGTGACGGGTTGCTAAGGGGAAGAGGTGTGTACGGATGTCATATTATAGACGCGATAAGTTTTTATTGTTACCATTCTGGAGGAAAGAAAACAAGAAGGACTGGGAAGAACTCGTGGTCCGTACCCCACTTTAAACCCTTCATCATATTACAGCAGCAAGATAAATTTTGTAATGTTATAATATGTTATCCTGTGGAGAAAACTGCATGAGGAGAAGCTTCATAATTTATATTATATACAAGGAGGTTCAGATGGGTGGGGCACGTAGAAAGAAATATATAGAAAAATTGTGATGGATGATGTAAAAGGAAGTAATCTTTTGGGAGATCTAAGCGTACAAGGGAGGATAACCGTAGGCCGAAAATTAATTTTAAAGGAAAAGGGTGTGAAAATGTGGCTGAGGGTAAACTCCAGTGAGTGGCTCTTGCGAACACGGTGATGAACAAAATGATAAACAATAACGTAAATTTTAAAGAAAGTGCACTAAGAATTTGAGAAAATTTCCACGTTTAGAGCTAGAAATGGGGGTAGACGTGGGTAGACGCCCCCTATATAGTGCCACAGCACTGCGTCAGGCGTCTCAACATGTCATAAGTTTCTTTCCCAACTAAGATAATGCAAGAATTAGTTCAAGAAACTACACTGCAATAATTTAAATATAACATGTGTTGGCCTTTCTCCCTGATGCTTTCCTGCCTAACTGGTGCGTCTGCCCAGCCCTGAAGGGCTATTTTCATTCCTGGCCAACTTACAGTGAAACTGTAAAATAAGTCTATTAGTATTGTAATAACTTAGCACTTGACTGACAAATGAAACTAAACAGTGACTAAGGATTTAGTCTGTTAATAGAGACATGACTTGCTGCGCATTATTTTTGAGTTAGCCAGTAAAGAAAAGACAGGCGTCGTCCAGTTAAATAATTTTGTTTAGGATATAATTAGATGGTAAAAAACACAGAAATAAAGAAAGCTTGAGACATTTCATGACAGTCAGATCCTGCTGAAGTAGACGTACAAAGATTGCAGACCCCACTGAAGCCTACAGTTATTTGTAAGTTGAGTTCCTACCTCACAGGAAACACACAGTGCATCCATTACTCATATAAGAGAAACAATCGCTGTTTTTTGTTGTGACAATCACATGAGCAAACAAACATACGTACACGTTGGGCAAAACTGAGTTTTTTTAAACGTTAAAGTGGGTGGTACATATAGTAACCACTGTGCTTTAAAGGGTTAACTGCATCATCAATTCATCAATTTTCATATCAAATTATGACTGTCTATTGAACAGTAGTGCAATATCAGTACACTGACACAATATTCAGCCCCCCCCCCACTTTTTAAATTAGGATGAATCTATTTTCCATTTAATGCTATATTTGTGCCAACATTGGTATTATTCGTAACGCTAGGCTTCATGACATAAAAGGATTATATAAAGTGATCCTTTAATTTGATTGGTTTTGTGGTGTATAATATAAAAACTGATTTTTCTCTCTCCCGTCCATATAATCATATGAAATACCTTTTCGTTTCTGATAGTGGAGGGAGGGGGCATGAATGGGGGCGAGTTTTGTGGCAGAGAGTTTGCTCACTGAATGTAGCTAATTACAGGCTCTCAGCCTGTCTATAATCTGTGGAATGGGAGATGATGAATAAGGTAGCTCATGTCAGTTTGAAATGTTCAACATCTCAATTTGTAGCTATTCGAAACCCTAAAAAAAAAAAAAAAGAAACTTCTTTTTAATTTGCAACATTTAAATTAATCATATGAAGTGGCTTAATTACATAGAATCGGTGAATGTGAATTGGAAATATTCCTGCCTGATACTTTGCAGGTTACTTCCATATGTAATTGGGGGACCATTCACGTTGCCTTTACACAACACGCCACTATAAAGGAAGCAGCAAGTGATGCAACTTGTGCGGCATACACGCTTTCGCCGGATAGGGCACGGCGGGGTGATATGGACTTCCTTATTTCGTGGTACGAGAGCTGTTCGTCATGAATTTTGGTGTGATCGACAGATAGTTCTAACAGCTTTCCATAGATGGCTCTAACAAGGGTTTAGCCCTTCACCTGTTTCGCTTCCAAATCTTAGAACACTTGTGCCTCTCCGCCTGACAACCCTATATCTCCTGCTCTTCGGTTTACAAGTGTCCTTGCCGTTTTCCTACCGCTGTCATCTCCAGAATCTCCATTATGTTTATGACCCGTCATTCGTTATCCTGTGACTGCTCTGAGGTAAAGCATTCCCGCTGTCCCCAGTCTTAAAAAGAGTTATATTTTCTGCGATATAACGCCGTGTAGTCCGTTCAAAGTCAATCGACGTTTCGGAAGAACATAGTGCCTCCATCTTTAGGTCGAAGAATAAGCCGAGAAAGAAACCAGAGATCTGCTTACCACCTGGTTTCACGTTGGTATCTTGTACGGATTATTCGACCCTGAAGAAGGAGGCGATACGTTCCACAGAAACGTCGGTTGAATTTGAACGGACTACACGGTGTTATATCACAGAAGATATAACTCTCCATAACCACCATTGAGAGAACAAGGCCTACGTCTCATTTCTTCTCACCTGTTCTCTCGTTATTGTACAGAACTGTAGTGAGGTTCGTTCTGGCAGTTCCCAGTCGGGTTATAGGCGTTTTATAGTTCTACAGAACTGTGGAACTGTATTTCTGTTAATTCTAAATAGTAAAAAACAAAAATCTGGGCAAGTTGACTCAATTGGTAGCGCTTCTGGCTTGTAATTAGAGTTGCTAGGTTCGAATATCGCCTGGGACACTGCACTAACTGAAGTTCTTCGTGGTTTCCTTAGACCCTCCAGGTACCTTCAATCAGGCAACGACCGGCTCCATCCATACCCACTGGAACTAATTATTCGCTATTTGACACTGCATTTTATAGTGTGACTGAGTGAGGCTACAGTTTAAAATAGATTATACACAAACATAACAAAGACAGACATCCCCAGACGTGATGCGACGCAGGACTTTCCGATATCGGCCGTATCGACGCCGTCTCTTCTACTTCTATTTTATTTCACGTGTGCTTATTTGACGACGCTGTCAGCAGCACAGCTCGGGCGTCCATAGCATCCAGCGGTAGGAAGGCGAAAGGTTCCTGAATTGGGATGTGAGCAGATCCGGTAGTGGCCTATTTTAAGAGGATACCTCGACATTTGCCTGGAGGGATTGAGGAAAGTCTGGTCTGTGGCCCAGGCGAGATTCGAAGCGGTCACCTCCCGAACAGAAGTCAGTAGCGTTACTCAACATAACAGAACTTGGCAGGTTAGTGCCTCGCTTTATCTTCTCATTCTGTCTTATAGGTTTGGTTCAGCAATCGAAGAGCAAAATGGCGTCGCGAGGAAAAACTGCGCAATCAGAGGCGCGCGGCGGAGCAGGTGGGGGTGAGTCCCCCGGGACCCGCGGGTCGCCTGCCAATCAACTCGGGCTTCAACTCCATGTACTCTTCGATCCCACAGCCTATTGCAACCATGGCGGACACATACAGGTGAGCAAACCGCGGCCCGCGGCCCGTTCCCCTGTTACGACTCTGTCAGTATGTAGCATGGGAGGATGACTTACTGACCACGAATTGGAAAGAACGGGCCTTTTCCCACTCCAGGTACTATCCCAACATTTTTCGCGAGGGACTGTGGAAAACGATTAAAATCCTCATTCAGGATAGTCATATCCTGGTCAAGATTCGAACCGAGCACTTCCGAATACGAGCTGTACCTCTACGCCAATCGGTTGAACCACCGTGAGGTGAAACATGACGTTCGACGAGGCCTCGCTATGACAGCGGAAGCCATGGAATCAGTTTACCCGCTGTTATGTATGGTTGCGAAACTCGGCCTCTTACGTTAAGGGTTGATTTACCGAGCGCCTCGATCCGGTGGTTAGCGCTCCTCCTTCACATTCGGAAGGTCCCGGGTTCATATTTCGGCTTGAACATCTGGTACCATCACTTAGAAATTTCTTTGTATTCCTTAGTCCATCCAAGCAAATGCTGGGATAGTGCCTCAAGCCAGGCCACGACCGCTTCCTTCTAACTCTTTGTCATTATGTAATCATTGTTCATCTTTTCGTTTGAGGGTACGTGACTGAGCTACACAAAGCGTCGTCACGTAAATCAGAGACAGGGCGCGGACGTAGAAGTGACTGGAGGATGGAGAAAATTACGCACTGTTGTACTCCATGCTTTGTACTGTTAGGTAGGCCTGATGGTCCAACACGTAGCATGCAGGCCCGTTCGCAGATGAGAAGTGTACATAAAGATTTCAGTTGATAAACAAACGACTTCAGAGACCTAAACATAAAGGGGAGAATGATATTGAAATGGACCATAAAGAGAAATGGGCAGACTGAGCGCGGATTGGACTTTTCTGGCTCAGGACAAGCTCCAGTGGCGGCCTCTTGTGAACACGCAAGTTCAAACATCTCGTTCCACGAAAGGAGGAGAATTTTTTGACCATGTGAGCGACAATCAGCTTCTCAAGAGGAGCTCAGCTCCAGGCACAAATTCCGTGTTTATGACAGTTTTTGTGGGGCCCACAACCCCCGCCCCATTAAGAGCATCTGTTCCACTCTGGCGGGTCAGTCTCCCGTCACATCACGGCAAAGCTGTGTGCAGACGCCTCTCCAGCCCGCTGCATATTTCATACGCAGTCAGTCAGTGGTGTGCAGACGTCTTTTCAGCCCGCTGCATATTTCATACGCAGTCAGTCAGTGGCGTGCAGACGTCTCTCCAGCCCGCTGCATATTTCATACGCAGTCAGTCAGTGGCGTGCAGACGTCTCTTCAGCCCGCTGCATATTTCATACGCAGTCAGTCAGTGGCGTGCAGACGTCTCTTCAGCCCGCTGCATATTTCATACGCAGTCAGTCAGTGGCGTGCAGACGTCTCTTCAGCCCGCTGCATATTTCATACGCAGTCAGTCAGTGGCGTGCAGACGTCTCTTCAGCCCGCTGCATATTTCATACGCAGTCAGTCAGTGGCGTGCAGACGTCTCTTCAGCCCGCTGCATATTTCATACGCAGTCAGTCAGTGGCGTGCAGACGTCTCTTCAGCCCGCTGCATATTTCATACGCAGTCAGTCAGTGGCGTGCAGACGTCTCTTCAGCCCGCTGCATATTTCATACGCAGTCAGTCAGTGGCGTGCAGACGTCTCTTCAGCCCGCTGCATATTTCATACGCAGTCAGTCAGTGGCGTGCAGACGTCTCTTCAGCCCGCTGCATATTTCATACGCAGTCAGTCAGTGGCGTGCAGACGTCTCTTCAGCCCGCTGCATATTTCATACGCATTCAGTCAGTGGCGTGCAGATGTCTTTTCAGCCCGTTGCATATTTCATACGCAGTCAGTCAGTGGCGTGCAGACGTCTCTTCAGCCCGTTGCATAGTTCATACGCAGTCAGTCAGTGGAGTGCAGACGTCTCTGCAACCTGCTGCATATTTCATACGTAGTCAGTGGCGTGCAGAAGTCTCTTCAGCCCGCTGAATATTTCATACGCAGTCACTTACTGGCGTGGAAACAGTTCTTCAGCCCGCTGCATATTAAATACGCAGTCAATCAGTGGCGTGCAGACGTCCCTTCAGTCCGCTGCATATTTCATACGTAGTCAATCAGTGGCGTGAAAACAACGGTTCGAACCTTACAGGGCGCAGTAGAAAGCGGAGTTGCCTCTAAGGTATAGTTTATTTGCACATTCCATAATATGAGAGTTTGAAATCAACTGAAGGTGGTGGAAATCATAGTTTTTTAAGATTATTTATTTCTACAAATTAATTCTTCCTTGACCCATTTACGCCTACGACCAGGCCCAGCTACATTCTCACGTCGTCTCTGGATTGTTTTATGAAGCAATTAGTAACTATATTACGTCGTGTAGAATGGTAGAACTGATGAATTGGGCTGGATTTGGAAGGAAGCGGTCGTGGCCTAATTGTAATGTTTGTTAATACCGAACATTGAGGCTGAGTGAAGCAGAACTCCTGCTTCGTATTCAAAAGGTTATGGATCCAAATCTCTTTCCAGAGACCATCTCTACTGTGTTTAGATTTTCGATGTTTTCTTCAGACTCTCGAAACAGCATCTTAGATCAATTTCCAGTCCTTTCAATTAATCTGTTGGCCTAGGTTCTGATGGGTTGGCAAAGTAGCGCCCTCGAAAAGAGATCCTCACGCTCCGAGATGCATGAATCTCTCGATGCCATATTTGGCACTTCGTTTTGTTCAGCCCTGTGACTCTCACGTGACAGCCAAAGAGTAAGTAATCCTGGAAGCTTTGGGTGCTGATCCGCTCAGGTCGGGAAGGTGGGAGGAGGGATCGCGAGGTGAAAACACGGGACTGTGGACGTGAGCAGGGCCCCAGAGAGCGGGCTTGTCTCTCGAACCATCACTCACGCGAGAGCGATTTGCCCACATTTGTCTCCCTCTCTCTCTCTCTCTTTACTGCACATGTAGGGGCAATGTTAACTAAATGAGTGTCACACGCGCCAGGCGGGTGAGCGTAGCGGTAACGCTCTACAGGCGTTTTCATTCCAATCTCGGCTGGGACACCGATTATCCTGAGACTTCTCGTGGCTTTCTTCAGTCTCTCCTGACAAATTCCCGGATTGTATCTCGAACAGGCCACGACAATTTCCTTCCGAAATCCTCTCCAAATTACCAGTCAGCCTACTTTTCGACGCGAATATATACTGAAGCGTCTTGAAGAAACTCATGAGTTAGTAAAGTGCACTAACACTATGGGGTTATTGAACCCGAAAGTTCATGACTGTTAGAACAAAATCTTTCCGTTGAAATTCATCGTGAGGCAGTCAGTGAAGTCTGTTTCCCTTTCAGCTTCAATGCCTATGTTTCTTCCATCTGTGCCTGGGTCCTCTTTGTGCGACAGGTGCCTCAGAATTCCTCAGAATTACGCACTATACACCTCAATTGTTTATTTTTATTTATTTATAATTTATTTCACATCATATTGCGTGAAATGGTAGGATTATTTGCGATTAACGAAATTGAAAGGATGTGACAGGAAGTGGTCTATATTGACTTCAGATACTATCGCGAAATTCTCCTTGAATGCCTGAAGAAAATCTCGACCCCCACGAGTTGGGATAGTCGGTTTCCCGACGGAGATTTTAACTGAGCACCTTCAGAGTACAAGTCTAGAGCCTTACAGGCTGAGCCACCTTGCTCGGTCAATTCTGTTTTTCTTCAAGGGTATTTAACCTAGAGTCGCATATTAATGTAAGAACATGGTTTGAGGATGGCTGACAATAGGATGCTGAGAAGAATATTTTGGCCTAAGAGTGGAGGCTGGAGAAAGTCACATGATACAGAGCTTTACTAAATATTAGTTGGTCGGGCCTGTAGCGCGAATGGAAAGGGTGAAGAATAAGCAAGGAAATTTAGTATGAAAACTTGATAGACCTAGGCGTAGATAATATTGACTTCAGTTTTAAAGGAGTAGTGCATGAGCATGTGGATTGGACTGATCTGGCGTGGTCTCTGTTTCAGCTCCATGTCCAACAGTCTCAGCAGCATGGCCGCGGCGGGCAGTTGCTTGCAGCAGCGGGAGCACAGTAGTTACCCCTACATGTTCCACGACCCGCTGCACTCCCTCAGTTCCACTTACAATCATTCGGCAGCACGAGCGGCTGTGTCCAACCCCGCAGTGGCTCATTCTCAGAGCGCGATCAACACGCACCCGTCGTACGGTGGCGTCACCACTTCGTCAACGCCTGCTACCGGCACCGGTAAGAGTCGCATACCTTTGACATGGGCTTAATTAGCTGTAGGGCCGCGTTCAGAAACAATTAACCCTAGAAGTGCCAAGAGTCGAAAATTTCGACCTTTACAAAGTTTGTTGTATCTGACGGCAAGTGGCATCTGTTGGATTTTTATGCGAACTACATAGTCAATGAACATTTTGCAGTACTCGTACATATTTGGAACTGTTGAATTTAAAGCTGGCAGTTCTGGGGCTAAGTTAAGAGCAGATGTAAATGTTAAAATATACAGAATTAGAATTCTACTCGTTTTGTATGGGTGTGGAAACTGGTCTCTTACATCGAGGGAAGAACATAGACTGAGGGTGTTAAGGGAAGGGTGCTGAGACCCACCGAAAGCGCCCATTCTTCCTCTAGGGTCTCCTAAAAAAGAAAACTTGAGGCTTAGTAAAAGAGCAGCAAGGCAAGTTTGTTGTAGCAATCACGCGAACAAACCACGCACTCTTGTCGACCAGCAAAGCTTACCTAATCTCTTAACTTACATACAGAAGTGAGTGAATTGTTCTTGAAGAATACTTCTACCAGACTACACGGCGTCACATACCAGAATGTATGTCAGGTTATAAAGACGAACGAATGCGAGATCCCTCGTCCCTTCTGCCCCGCACCGCTGTGCTATGTTCCCGCTGAAAGGACAGAGAATGGAGAAAACTTCATGATGAAGAGCTTCATAATTTGTTCTCCGCCAGATGTTATTACGTTGACGAAAGCGAGAAGCATAAGAACGCGACATGCAGCACGCACGGGAGCATAAGGACAGCACTTGGAACACTCAGACATATCAAAACAGTTTCTTTAAATATTTGGACGTGTGTAACCGGCTCTTGCGTACGCGCTTATTTTTAGTAGCTGAGCGACTATCAGCTTCTCAAGAAGGACGCCGTTCCATGGAGTTAGCTGTAAAAATGAGTGTGGAGGTTATGCAAAAACAGGGGTTTGTTTGAGAAATGCCTATCCTAATAACAAGTTGTCCCTGTGCATAATTAAGCTCGGTGCCATAGAAATGTATGGGGGAATGAACGTATAGCTCCATATATTCTTAACCTCGACCACAGATGTAGATGCCTCCTTCTCTTGACCTGCGAGGAAACGGCCCCCAGTACCCACAGGACTGGAGGCTACATGAGTCCCAGAGCCCGTCCGGACGCTGTGGAGGAGAGAAAAGCATCCAGCCGTTGCCGGAAATAGAACCCCGATTGTTTGGTTATTCAGCCTTTAGTCTAGCCACTGCACTGACTGAGGCATCCCGGTTCGTATTGTGGGCAAAATACATCATCAGATAGCGATGAAGATCGTCAGGTAGCCATGAGATATTATTAATATCCAGTATGAACCAAAATCGACCGCCTCTGTGGTCTAGTGGTCAGAGTTCCTGGCTACAGATTCAGAGGTCCCGGGTTCGATTCCCGGCGCTACCAGATTTTCTGAGAAGTAGTGGGTCTGGAACGGGGTCCACCTAGCCTGGTGAGGAAATTTCAAGGAAATAGCGGCTCCGGTCTAGAAAACCGAAATTAACGGCCGTAGGATAAAGTTGGCACTAACTTCGCCGACAAGCGGCGGTGGCTCGGTCGGTATAGTTCGCTTGCGGACTACAGGCCACGGCGTTTAGTTTTTAGTGAACCAAAATCGCTACACGTTCAGGGACTTTTCTTCCGTAAAGTTGCGTGACGTATTCTCACAGATGTTCAGGAAAAGTATAAGAAATGAGAAATAAGAAAAGCGAGAGAGTAGTAAAACCTTCCACTCTTGTTCTCCCTGCGCATCTCCCTACCCTGCATTTAGGAGCAGACCACGTGATAAGAGCGGATGAAGGATTCGGAACCTTTCAAATTACACTGTGCTGCCATCTCTGGAGCGCAGATGACTGTGTGTATGTCTCTCTGTGAACAGAACGGAAGAAGCCGTTCATGCGTCGCTTTTTAACGACTTCTGGGAAGAAAATCGTTAACTTCCCTTCGCTCTGATGCTGACTAGTACCGCCTCTTGTGATGCACATCCATTCTTCCAAAACATGTTAATGACAGGCGCATCCAAGCGTCATTAAATTCTATAATTTGAGAGAGAAATATCATTTGGATGTTGACGTTATGATGGTGATTATTGCTGGATTCAGTTCCAGTTCTATAACGCGTTCTATAATTTCTATAGCTATGGTTATGTAGAGTTCGAATAGCAGAATAAGCGTTTGTTTGCAGCTATCAAATACGACCAAATGGAATTTGTATTAGCAAGTTGTAAGTACACAGCTTTGTCATGGAATTAGCAAAACCAAACTTTGTTGAGTTAATTAATAGAGTGTTTACGAAATAATGTGAGCTTTATTTTGTTTTGAAATTAATTATTTGTATCAGAGTTTAATATGTAAGTATGTGAACAAGCCATGTTAGCGTCACATGTAAGATCGGCCGAACTTTTCTACAGTGATGCCAACCTTTGTTCGACGATAAACAAATCATCTTCACATGCGCTTCTTTTTAATTCCTTCAGAATTCTGTAATAATAACAACAACAATAATAATAATAATAATAATAATAATAATAATAATAATAACAACACAAAAAACCGGCCACAATTTTCAGAAGAACTATACAGAGTTCCTTTACGGCAGCCGCAGATCTAATCGAAAGTGTTAATTTATTAAACGATGCTGTATTAGGTGTGTAAACAGACTACGGACTCTAGACTAACTAACTAGTCTAACAAAATGTGGATTTATTTTACATACTAATTACATCGAAAAGGGTCCATCTTGAGAAACTGACAGTCCTTCATCTGATTAATAGTACTCCGCCCTTTAATAAACCAAATGATTCATTACCGTACTCACAAGAGCTTGCCGCTAGACCCTATCCGGATTCAGATGAATCTAGTCGATATTTTCACATCTTATTTAGCATCTATTTTAATATTATCCTCCTGATCTTCAAAGTGATAACTTCTCTTTAGATTTTTATACGAGAGAGTATTGATTTATCATGTAGGCCTGCCCATGCGAGCTAATTATCCAGCCCATCCAACACTATGTGACCTTTTCACCCTGATGATATATGGTCAGGAGTACAAGTTATGAAACTTCATATTATGCATTTTCCTTGTTTTCATGTTGCTTCTTCTATCTTAAATCCAGATTTGTTTTCGGCACTTTAAAATATGAAAACGTTTACAAACTATTGAGTCACATCTAATTACAATGTCCGCGTGCCCCTGCTTGGTGAAAGTCACTAACAAGTAGCGTAAAAATGTTTAACGGCGAACAAATGCGTCTCTCTTCGAAGCAACAACAGGAGTCTGTCTTCTGGAATGTGACATCATGTAGTCTGCTAGACCTTTACCAACGTGCCGTGGAAATGGAAGCTGTAGGTTCCTCCGAAACGCTGGCAACGATGTACCAAACTATACGGTATCATGTTTCATGGCCAGCGCTATAAAAAACTCGTCTCTCAGCGGGCAGGACTGCCAGAAGGGGCTCAGTAAGTTGCACTGTCCCGCTCCACTCCGCGGAGGACACAACTAACGAGCCGAGCAAGCCGCGAAGCACGTTATTGAGCGTTTGCCGCGCCGAGAACTTCCAGCAGCCACAACCAGGACCTGTAGGAGAGATCCGTGGGCCCAGCATGCGGCGTCAATACGGAGTCCTGAAAAAATATCCGACTGGTCAAAGGGTCAGCTGCTCCCCAGCATGGCGCCTCTCACCTACGCCTGGTCTTTCTTACCTTCCCCAATAATATTGAGTCCTTGGCAACTGTTTAATGCATAAAGCGATTACCATTCAGCCCACAGATGCGTTCGGCCGTAGCTGCCTCGCTTGTAGAACCTGGATTTAATTAACTCGCCGTCTGTCCCTTGCGCTCTCGCCTTAAGAGACTGCAGTTCCAAGAGGCGTTGCAGAGGACTGGGAAGTTTTGTTTGTTCGACGAGAATGTGAGGGTTACGAACGAGGCTGTCAGTTTCATTGTGTCAGTGCCGTTTGTTGCAGGCAGGGAGCGGTCACTTTCGGTAAGCAGATATAAATAAATTTAAAACGAAAGGGATATGACGTATGGTTTCTGCTTTCGGAGTCCGGCCATGTCGAATGCGGAGGATTTTGCAAGCGTTCGGAAAGCTTTGCACTTACCATTTTCAGTGTTAATAACAATGGGAGGAGGTCTCTAAGACATTGACTCTGAAGATGGCAACTACAAGGTTTGCCGAAACGGTGGAAAACTCACAACATTCGCGACGCGGCCGGGTTCCGCATTAAGCGGCAGTCACAAAAGAGCTAATGAATATGCCACCGTACAGTTTGGCATATACGCATCCCTTGAGAGAGCAATGTTCACTGCCGTGAGAACTTCAGCTCTCGCAAGGGACGACATGATGTACTCTGTGTAAACGTGAATTGTCGGTAGTGTCACTCGGGAGCGAATACACTGACGTGTATGAGTGACGTTGTTGCAGGCGTCATCTCGGCCGGAGTGTCGGTCCCCGTTCAGATCCCGAGCCAGGCTCCAGACCTCACCTCCAACTACTGGCCCAGAATCCAGTGATCTCAACTTTTCGGTTTTCCTCCGCCGAGGCTTCTCGTGCATGAGGAAAACCCCGTAGCAGCGTCTCCATCTTGCTCCTCAACGTCTACAACGACGTCCGCCGCTACAGCGACAACAAACAGCATCGTCGCGTCGACGCTGCTGCTGCATCAACACGCTAGTTCGACGTCGACGTTGTCCCAGCAGGTGCCTCGTGATGGCGTCCCGACGGCAGCTCTAAGTGACGCCACACAAACACAACATGCAATGGGCATTACGTCTCACCATGACGCGCACTGAAACGGATATTTCTGCTACCATCGATAAGTACAAGACGCCTACATTGTGTATACCTTCTGACATAATTACTTTGAATGTAGTTTGAAGCGAAGTTAGGCCTTCTAAACCAGTATCTTCCTTCCATCTATCTGTTGTCCGATTTTAATCGATTACAGATCGATAATACAGTGTGTATCCATTACATCGACCAACCGGTTAATGCTGTTTAGGGAAACAGTCGCTGTTTATTGTGAGAACCATACAGAACATACAGATACACTGTGTGGGCAGAATACGTGTATATAGCAATTCAGTCCGTACCTCACAGGAAACACATTACGTCTCCGCTACAGAGACCAACCGGTTAATGCTGTCTATTGTGAGAATCATACGAAAATATAGTCTATGAGTGAAATCCACCTTCAAATAGGCGGTACATATTGTAGACACTGATTTTTAATGGGTTAACGCACAGACGGTTCGTTATCATTAGTGAACTTATGACATTTATCAATATATGTTCGTTACTATTGAACGGAAGCTGCATTCATTCTATTGTGGAAGAAACCAACAATAATAGCAATAGACTAATCGATTATTTCTAGTCGATATGCTTAAAGACACAGCATTTTCGTTTTAAGGGTTCAAAAACCTTGCAATGAAAGTCAACGTAATCTGATACGGCTGAAAAAGTAGTATAAATTTCTCTCACTTTAAGAAAAATAAATGAATATAGTACAACAATAAATATAAAATAAAGCAAGACTGCATACATTCTTAAAATTATATGTTACATGTTCTTATCTGAACTTCAGCCAAAATAGTTGTTCGTGTGTTACAGATATCGGAAATAATTTCGTGTTCAAACTGGCCGCTCTTCGAGGGTCAGGTTAACTTCTATATCTTTTCTCAAAAACTGACAACACTCTTTCTAAAATTATAAAGACGCAATTAGTTTTCAGGTTGTCCCAACAATTGCACTGATTTCCCGACAAAAGAAGCGTACTTGAAAGATGCAACAATTCTTCTAGCGAAGGCAGAATATTGGCCCCTGCATTGGAATCGCGGCTACCCGCACTGAAGTTGCATTTACTACGCAACGTAGAAGACACACGACTGTATAAATACAACTGTAACTGAAATGAGATTGACTATCCTGCGAATATAGGTGTGAATTTGACTTGTTTTTGCATCTGAGTCTATTGTTTAGTACACACAACATGTTACGACATTAATATTTTTCTTACTAGGTCCAATTATTTGAATCGTCTTCAGCTACAGAAGCTATTTTCATGACAATGTAACATTTCTATTATTTGAAATCCAGGACTAACTAGCTGAAAATGTTCAGAGATGGCGAGCATGTGTCTTTTATTGATCTCCTCAAACATCAAATAGAGTCTGTAATCTGCACCGCTCTCCACCGAGCTATCTCGTGAATAGCGTGAAAAGAGTCACGTTCCTTCTCCGCGTTCCTGAATTTCATTTAATAAGAACACGACTCTCAATAGAATAGACACAAAATTTAAAACAAAAAGTTTAAATTTAAATATTTATATTATATATATACAAGTAGCCGGTTTACGTTATTTATAAAATTATCAATAATTTATTTAACTTATTACATTTATTTCACTCTTCGTTTCATGATTATAATAATAAAGAAAAATATACTCCATATTGTGGTTTTCTGGATTATGACACCGTATAGTGTGATATGTAGATATCGTCGTTTCGGAGGAATATACTGCCTCCATCTTAAGGTTTCAGCTCCGAAGATGCAGGCAGTAAATCGTTCCGAAACGTGATGTGAACCTACCGGCATAATCGGTTCCCTAACCCACAGGACTACAACATAAATTCTCACCGCCGTGAAACGATCAGAACTCACACTAGGCCTACAGCTGTCGCTAGTGAGGGGTGCGGTGGACTGTACCAACAGCTCTTGTCTGAGACAGTTTCTTCTTCCGTCAGATTTCGCACTGGCAAAATTAAATTTCACTTCCTAATACAGGTCTGTATAATACACATACAAAGATTACGGCCTGTTACAGGGATAGCTTTACCTTTCTTCGTTACCTTAACCCATCATTTACCCTATCTTGCAAATCATAAAATAATAACCTGGCAGCCAATTGCAGTGCTGCCGTGAATACGAGTACTCGGGGAGTTGCGGTCGAGGAGCATGCGCAGAAACGAACGTCAGTGTCCGCTCAGTTTGTCCGGTTTTAACCAGAATTGGAACAGGCTGACAAATTTAGTGAAATTCTTCATAACAAAATTTAATGAAAATTCATTCAGCGGCTATCAATTTTTGTTGCATGCGTGCCGTCATGGCGGAAAGAATATGATGTTATATTTTAGCGTCCTGTTGCACTGATTTATGTCCATGATTTATTCTGACCGTCCCACAGTGCATACACTTATTCGCCTCACTCCTCTCTCCTGCACTACATGTTTCAGCACTAAAGTGTCATCTTCAGGTGCTATAACACACGCAGTCACAGGAGCAAGACACAACACAAAGCACAATACACACATGAAAGTAGGAAGAATACTCCGATAGAAGAAGATAGGTGTGACTCGCGTATTGAGATACGACATAAGAATGACAAATCCTGAACAGTTTTAATATTTAAAATTTGTCGTTGTATATGACGAATATATATTTTAGTCATTTTAGTATAAAGACAACAGGGCATGCAGTGAAGTAGTTCGACGTACATAGAAAAGCACCTGAAGATGGCACTTTAGTGCTGAAACATTAGTGCAAGAGAGAACAGTAAGGTGAATGAGTGTATGCACTGTGGGACGGTCAAAATAAACCATGAAAAGAATATGCACATTTCGAAATATTTCGCTCTCAACGCGCCAAAAATGGCTTTGGTCGTCTCAGTGAGCGTTGTCCATCAAACCCGAAGAGTCATTGTATATACACCTTTAATTTGAATTTGTACGTAAATCATATACCTCATCAGCACATTTCCATTAAAGCGCTACAAAATCGAGTTCAAAATGTTCCGGGTAGGCAACTGCCCTTTGTTAAGAATGCCGCCTTCTGAGATGTGGCGCCGTTTAGATCTTGTGTCAACCGAAGTTTCAGAGAAACGTATCGCCTCCATCTTCAGGGAAGAAAAATCGTCGAGCGAGGAACCAGCCTGCAGATCTACACGGTGCCACATCCCAGAAGAAGGCATTCTTCATAGTCACCGCCGTGAAAACGTCAAATCTTACAGCCCTCTGTTACTTTATGTGCGTTGGTCCGACAACAGCACGTCCCGTGAATCGAGTTACAAGAAACTGGACTGGCTGGCACGCAGAAGCTGTTTAACCTTTCCTAATTTCGCGGATTATTTTGGGGGCTGTGCGATGTCATCTGTGAATGGCAAAGATGCAGAAACGGCGAATCTTGCAGAGTTCTATCTTCTGGGGATATAATGCCGTGCACTCCGTTCAAAATCAACCGACGTTTCGGAGAAACTGACTATACAGTGTTATATCCCAGAAGATAGAACTCTTCGAGAACCTCGGTTCCTACGAATGTACGTATCTTGCTCAGAACAGACCGTGTCAGGTTGCCCTGCGTTGCTGCCATAGTTTTGTTTTCTTCGCGGGAGTAACTGTCTTATCGCGGTTCACGACAAGACTGAACATTCAGTGCATTGTTTCACCACATATCTTAAAATAACTTAAGAATATTACAATTTAACGGTATGGCCACGTTTCACTATTTGTTACATTTGAACTAGTGAACTTGGCGGGCCAAATTATGTCTTCAAATTACTGAACGGAGATGAAAATCTCATTTCGGAGGCCTGAAGAAGCTTTGCAGCATAAATATTTACATTTTCTTCCGTGGGCCCTTGTAGTTTCTTGAAATAGACGCACTAAGATGAATCTGTGTCAATAAAATATATTGAGTCTCTTTTAAAGATAGAGTTTCGTATATCTTCCTGTTTTCCACTGAACACACTGTATATCTTCCTGTTTTCCACTGAACACACTGTATATCTTCCTGTTTTCCACTGAACACATTATAGAACTTCCTGTTTTTCACTGAACACACTGCATAACTTCCTGTTTTCCACCGAACACACTGTATATCTTCCTGTTTTCCACTGAACACACTGTAGATCTCTCTGTTTCCCACGGAACACACTGTATATCTTCCTGTTTTCCACTGAACACACTGTATATCTTCCTGTTTTCCACTGAACACACTGTAGATCTTCCTGTTTTCCACTGAACACATTATAGAACTTCCTGTTTTTCACTGAACACACTGCATAACTTCCTGTTTTCCACCGAACACACTGTATATCTTCCTGTTTTCCACTGAACACACTGTAGATCTTCCTGTTTTCCACTGAACACATTATAGAACTTCCTGTTTTTCACTGAACACACTGCATAACTTCCTGTTTTCCACCGAACACACTGTATATCTTCCTGTTTTCCACTGAACACACTGTAGATCTTCCTGTTTTCCACTGAACACATTATAGAACTTCCTGTTTTTCACTGAACACACTGCATAACTTCCTGTTTTCCACCGAACACACTGTATATCTTCCTGTTTTCCACTGAACACACTGTAGATCTCTCTGTTTCCCACGGAACACACTGTATATCTTCCTGTTTTCCACTGAACACACTGTATATCTTCCTGTTTTCCACTGAACACACTGTAGATCTTCCTGTTTTCCACTGAACACACTGTAGATCTTCCTCTTTTAAACTAAACACAATGTACAATGTAGAATAATACGACCCCGGTACACAGGGTAACAAAACTCGTGGAGAGATAGTTTTCCCGCTGCAAATGAATTGCTAGACCCACGAGACTGAAGATGCGGCCGTATGCCGACACAATAACATTGTATTACAATACGTAATACCAATAATATAAATACTACATATGTGAACTCGGATAATAAAATAAATTGTATTAAGTATTCGTGACGAGCAGTATTACTTTTATATATATATTGTATTATTAATGGTATAAATGTGTCAGTCATGTGAATGGTATAATAAATCCTGTCCAAGACTAAAGTGCGCCATATTGCAATATGTTGTTACGTGCGACCGGTCTGAGTGATTTTTTTTTTCACATTATCTAGCCTATTTATAGCACAGTGTGGCGATCTCAATGGTGTAAACTGAATCTTACAATTCAGCATTTCAGTGATAATACGTACATATACCGAAAGTTGACAAATTCTTCTTTAAACTGATGAAGGAAATGTTGGGGGGGGGGATCATCAAGAGTGC